GGCAATAGACATAAAGCTCATGAGAGAACACAGAGCAGACCACCATGAGCACAACAGACCAGATTTGTGTCCCAAAAACAATGGACAGAGTTCCATCCAACAGCAGGTGTATTGTAGTTTGTTGATTGCCTGTTTGCACCAAGTACAGTACCAGAAGTCCCTTTGCCATTTAATAACCTCAGATTTGGAAGACTCTCAAAGTTAAACAGTCAATACAAGACATAGGTTTTTTTTTTTTAAACTAACATGCCTATTCTTTAGAGGTTTTATGGCTTACTGTGAAATTTCAGCTTTATTTATTCACTGAACTCTGGAAGGCTGGGAACCCAGGAAGTCAGGCATTCCAAGTGTGATATTTGGATATGTCAATGTTTTTAATTATATCCTATTCAGACAAGAACAGATTTTTAGTGGACTCACGTAAACCACACATTGCCATGAAAAATCTTACAAAAATTTTGGATTTTGGGTAGACTCAGAGGGAAAGGGAATTGTTTTTACCTCTGTTTGCAAAACTGTATTTCACCAAAGCAGTGTATACCATAGGAACCACAAGAAAATCTTTAACCTAGAAGAAGAGGTCTTTAAGTAAGAAGCAACAATGGCTTATGGAAGACACAGACACACACAATAAATTCACGTTGCTGCCTCTCCTGTAACTGCTTCTTGTCCTGCGTGATCTCCATTAGCAGGTCTGTGAATCCATCAGTGTCCTTATCAGTTTTTGGAAAGGTTAGTGTGTTCACTGAGCTTTAGTCAGACAACTGTATTTGCAAACATTTGTTTGTAGTCTCCTTTGATTGTGTTTTCAGAGAAGAACCACAACTGTGGATGACTAAAGATGTGAAAGCATCATGATTAAAACTTGGATAGAATTTGGCAAACCGTTCAAAAGCACAGGAGAGTTTTGCGACCTTTCTGTCCTTCAGGTAGGGGCCTGTGGTGGGAGGGGCACTTGTGAAAGCGTCCCAGAGCCCCCAGGTCCTTGTTATTACTAAGCTCACAATCATGCCTGACGACATCGAATCAGAACCAGCAGGCCTGTATGAAAGTCCAAGAACACTAGAATAGTGTATCAGCAACGCACCTATAGCAATGCGACATGGCATTTGTTTGTTCTATAACTAGAGAATACTTTCTGTGCAATCCACCTGAGCCTCATCTGCTTGATCTCTGTAGGGTGAGAGCTGCATCCATGAAGACTTCCGGGGGCCCAGCTGCAAATCCCAAGCTCAGAGACCTTAATTTGAAACTTTGATTGAGAAAGCCTGACTACAATATCCAAAGTTTCCAAACGCTTAGTCAAAAACAGGATCCCTGACCCCTGTGAGAAACACTCATCATCCATTCAGCCAGGGTGATTTCACCTGAGTTACAGACCAGAGTAAATTGCAGCAACAAAATACAAAATCTTTTCCCCCTTTTGGTCCCTCACCAACAGAGGCCATGGTAAGACCTGGACTAGAAGCATGAGTGTAAGAAACTGTCTCACTGTTTGGAACAATGTAAAGACATCAGGAAAGACCAGAGGTAAAGAATGAAATGGTCCTGTTCTCCTAGGTTCCAAGACAAACATTTTTAGTGTCCGTTTCTAGCAGGGTGAGAACCAGGGAGGAGAAACAGCTCACAGGCGCTGCCCAGAGAGTCAAGGGCGTCCCAAGTACACAGACACTGTGGAAATCAGAAGCTGCAGTTTAGAAAATTAGAGAACAGATTTTACAATGAAAGATCAAGGCATCTTGCAATACGTATTAATATGTCTGCATCTTAAGAAAACCTGATTCCTTTAGTGTAAGGAGCTGTATTTTGGTTAGTGTTAGAACACTGTTAACGGCACAATTTTTAGAAACTTTTATATGTGATTTTCTTTTCATCTTAGCCATCTTAATCTCATAGATGCATGTTTTATACATTTTCTACAACATTTCTATAATTGTTCAGCATTTGTCTTTTTTTTTTTCCTAGTATTACACCAGCCATGTGGTTTCTGGTCAAATGTTTATTTATTTAAAACATGTCTCTCATATCTCAAATATTTACAAAACACATAATTTTATCGTTAGAATTTATATTTTTTTCTACTTATTAGTTTTTTTATTTATACTTAGAAACATTTAACTTGTTTATATTTATCTTTTGGTTTTTATTGTTTGTTTTTTTACAGGCAGAGTGGACAGTGAGAGAGAGAGAGAGAAAGGTCTTCCTTTTGCTGTTGGTTCACCCTCCAATGGCCGGCGCGCTGTGGCCGGCGCACCGCGCTGATCCGATGGCAGGAGCCAGGTGCTTCTCCTGGTCTCCCATGGGGTGCAGGGCCCAAGCACTTGGGCCATCCTCCACTGCACTCCCTGGCCACAGCAGAGAGCTGGCCTGGAAGAGGGGCAACCGGGACAGAATCCGGCACCCTGACCGGGACTAGAACCCGGTGTGCCGGCGCCGCAAGGCAGAGGATTAGCCTAGTGAGCCGCAGTGCCGGCCTATCTATTGTTAATAATCATACATGGATTAATTACAAAGACTGAGATATTTAAACAGATACAGTCATCACTTCAAATTTCAATGGATAAAACATTTTTTCCTGGTTGTAAGTCAAATCCATACCTTTATGATCTCAGATGTCCAACAAACGTAAATACAGTCCTGTCAGGGCAGCAGACTCAGGGACAAACAGGTTAACAAGCCAAAACAGTTTTATCTTATTTTACCCAGCTTATTTATTAAGGGTTTGTGTAAGCCACGGAACTAAAAGTCACATGGGCTGATTTAGCCGTGTTAATTTACTAACCTGTAAAGCAATTAAAAGGAAATTCTTAAGGGATTTTTTTAACATGCAGATACAACACACCACATGTATATACATGTAACATATGTAACAAAGCTCATGAGACAGAAAAACTGTTAAAGCCACTGCTTGCAACAATGCCATCTCATATCAGATTGCTGGTCCAAGTCCCAGATGCACCATTTCTGATCCAGCTTCTTGTTAATGCACCTGGGAAAGCAGGATGAGGGAACATGTACCTAACTGCTTCCACCCAGGTGGGACACCCGGATAGAATTCTTGGCTCCTGGCTTAGGCCTGGCTCAGCCCTGGCTGTTGCAGGCATTTGGGGAGTGAACCGGAGGATAAAAGTTATCGCTATTTCTGTCTTTCTCTCTCTCTCTCTCACTCTCTCTCAAATCATCAAACAAGCAAAAAACATGGTTCAATGATTAATCTTTAAATAGTGCTAAAACATTGCTGTGTCTGTCCAATGACCATTTGACAAAAACAGGAGGCTCTCCACACATGGACACCAGTGACTACAATAAACCTTTTCCTTACCCCGGTGTTGGGTGTGTTTTGTGGTGACCTTTCAACCCCTCCATCCTCTAGCTTGTACCCAGGCCAGGTGGTGGGGCAGAAAAAGATGAGACATTTTTTTCTGCAAGCTCAGGGGTCAAAGAAATCTCAAAGTAGATGTTTGCCTCCTGGCTGGAATGAGAGGGTAAAAACAGAGGCGTACTTCAGGCCCTATGTCTCCTGAGTTAGAGACCTCTCACAAAACCCTCTTGCTGCTTGCAGTGTCCAGATGTGCACTGAAGCCCACAGGGAAGGGAGGAAGGTGAGAGTCGCTAATTTAGCATGTACCACCCACCTCCGCTCAGCCTTCCATGCCTGTAGCCTAGGCTGTTCGGTTAATGTGACCAAGACCACTGAACAAAACCGTGCTGAGAAAAGTGTAGAAGAGTTTACTGGGGGCATAACTGCTGGGCTGTCTCCAAGGAGAGAGAGAGAGCAGAAGCAGGAGTTTCTGTGCATGCATTAGCTGAGGGCTGCTGCTTCCAGGCTACAACAGCCTGCAGCTGGGGAGGAAGTGGGATTGGGGTTAGGAAGTTTGCTATCTATTGGGAAAGTTTACTGCAACCGGGGGAAGTGCTGTTTTGCAGGAATGAAAGGGTGTAGGTTATATCTGTATTTGTGCAAGGGTCATGGTTTCTTTTGCTAGTGTAAACACAGCTGTAGGCACACTTGCTTGGGTGCCCTAACATAGGATATAGCTTTGTCAGAATAGCACAGGCAGTTCCCTTACTGGAGGTGTGCTGCACGGGACCTCTGCCTGGTCAAATACACACTGTCACTTGGTTCTTCGACATAAGGAAACATAGTTGTTTTGTGCCTCTTAACCTCCAGTCTTATCTGATGGGCCTCATTTCAACAATGAGCCTTCATGGCAAGAGCTTAGCAAACAAAGGTGTTTCAAGCTAGAGTTTGCCAAGAGAGTGCCAGTCCTGGTTACTGACTAGGCCTGCTGACTAGGCAGGTGAAGTCACTAAGAAGCTCAGTGGGGGAGTGAAATTCTCCCCAGCAAACCTGATCTGAGGTATATACTGCATAGCCAGTTTCAGACTAAGTGACCCAAAAGAAGTGAGTTGAGAAGGAAGATAAGGGGACACCAGAGACATGCTGAGACTTGACTACACAGCTCAGGCCACATGGGGACTGCATCTAACGGGAGTCTAGATCAAAAAAGGTGTGGCTGGTACTGTGGTATAGTGGGTTAAAGACCCAGCCTTCAGTACCTGCAAGCCATATGGGCACTGGTTTGAGTCCCGGCTGCTCCTCTTCTGATCCAGCTCTCTGCTATGGCCTGGGAAAGCAGTAGAAGATGGCCCAAGTCCTTGGGCCCTGCACCCACGTGGGAGACACAGAAGAAGCTTCTGGCTCCTGGATTCAGACGGGTGCATCTCTGGCCATCTGGGTTGTGAATAGCTGATGGAAAACCTCTCTCTCTCTCTCTCTCTCTCTCTCTCTCTCTCTCCTCCACCCCACCCCTGTAACTTTGCCTTTCAAATAAATAATTAAATCTTCTTTTTTAAAGGAAGCATGAGAAAACACAATAGAAGAAGAAAAAGAAGGCAGCAAGTTCAAATCCTGACTAATTACATCAAGAACAGTCAGGCTCCCTTATAAAGAAAGTGCAATGTGTAAGGAGCTTTCAACTGTGAAAGCATGGCACAGCTAACTAAAGTGCTTCCCAGTAACACACTGATGTTCTAAAATCCTTACACTGTAGGCAAGTGTGTTTAATTTTGCCCCTTGTATACATTTATTGACCTGGACAAGGAGCTGTTAGGGTTGGGGATGGGGTGGGGTTGCTGTCTCTAGCAAGCACAACAGCAGTGACTTGGGTCCTCACACATCCTCTTTCTGGGGACGCAGTCGCCTGCTTCCTGGGGCGCTCAGAGCTGCGGACAGCGCTCTAGGCTTGATCTTAGCCTAAAGATGGAGACGCCATCGCCATCGGACAGCACTCCTGCCCTTTGCTGAGCTCGTCCTGGGGCTCTGTCCTGGGCGGCTTTGAGTGAGCCAGAGAAACAGGCCCTCTGCAGCCTGGGCTTTACCTCCCCCTGAACAGTACCTGAATAGTTTTAGCATTAAAATGGACGCCCTGGGCATTAACTCTGGCTTCACCTGGGCTTTGGAGAAGAAGCATTTCAAATAGACACTGGCACTTTCAGACCTTGCGAGCTAAAGATTCCACAATGCATGCTTTGTGGTGGTAAGCTTTAACCACTCAGGAAAATTTCACACGTAACCAGGGCTAGTTACTTATTCTCTGTCCGAATTTTATTTAGGTTTCAAGGTTCAGCTTTATTAACTCCTTACGCTTGCTTTCTGAAGTTCATTTCCATGTTTCATGGCATACCCGCCAAGATAGTTAGCATGTACACAGCAGGCTTTTCATTTCTTTTTTAAACAGCTTCCTATTGGAGCAGAGACTTAAGCATAAACCAGTTGAGTGGCAGGCTGGTATGCTGTTGTCTGTTACATAAAGCTATGGGCAGAATCTTAGTAAATATAACGGAGATAGAGATAGTGATAGAGATGGAGATACACGAGAGAGAGAGAGAGAGAGAGAGAGAGAGAGAGGAAGGGAGGTAGAGGAGGGGAAAGGAAAGGAAGGTGAGACCCCTTGTTACTGCCTCCTTCCATTCTGGGTTGTCCTTCTCTGAAGCCAATTAGAACAGCTTGGCCCTCTTCATCTTCCCCCAACATTTTAATTTCTTGCACAGGAAGAGGAACTGTGGGCTCAAACTGGGGGGTTGTGTTTGGACTCGTCTGTGTTCTCACTGGAGGTACCAGGGGCCTCATGAGTGTCCTTGTGGGCCCCGTAGGGACACAGTGGTGGAAGCTCCTGGTCCTGGCTCCTTCCCTCCAGTCTGCTGTCTGCCCCCCCCCAGCCGGCCCGCTCTTCCCTCCTCCCTGCAACGTGAACGAAGCAGGATGCCGGTCCTGCAGCCTTGAGACCGTCTCCTAGGAATGCACCTTCTGTGTCAGTCTCCGATCTGCTTGCTGCACACCACGGTGCTGTCCCCACGCTTGGCTTCCGTCCTCACAGATGCGGGGAACTTGGGGGATTCCTCTTCCTTGCAGGAGTCCTTGAGCCCATCTGCTTCTGTGCCTCTCACAATTGCCCTGTTACTACCAGCCCTGCCAGAGGCCTGGCCATGTCTCCTGAGTGCTCTCCAAAGAGCCATCAAGACCTCCTGGGGGAATGCCAGAAAATCAGATCACTACAGGAAACACCAATCACCTCAGTAGGAACTTCCTGTGCGAGGGGGACCAACAGACGCCACGTGGTCGTGAGCATTGACCCCACGCTCACATAATTGGCAGGCAGGTGATTTTAGGACAGAGGTGAGTGACTGAGACCTCGTCTGGGGCTGGACCAGAGTAGTTGTGTGATAGTCGCTGAAATGACCTCATCTTTCTAAACGTAGACGTCTTCCAGGACAACGGGTGCTCGAGCTGTTTCTGCTTAAACAGGGGATCTTTGCATTTCATGTTCCCGGTTTGCATGTGACAGTTGTGTCCACATTTGCTTCACTTTCCTGTTTCTTAGGCACAGGATTTGGGTCCTGCTTCAACTGTGCCTGTGACGACACCTTTGACCTAAGTCTCTGTGGCCCTGACGCTGCTCGCTGGTCTCAGTAGGTGGTAGAGCTTTGTGTTTTTGTGAAAAGGCCATCTGACAAAGCACAGTCTGTTAACTTCAACACTACTTTACTATTTAAACCATTTATTTCTTTATTTGAATGTATTGAGTGTCACAGTAAGAGAGGGAGAGGGGGAGAGAGAGTGTGTGTGAAAGAGAGAGAAAGAGATCGTCTATCCTCTGGTTCACTCCTCAAATGTCCTCAGTACCTGGGGCTGTACCAAACATAGCCAAGAACGCCATCTGGGTCTCCCACACGGCTGGCAGAAGTCAAGTACTTGTTCCACCACCCACTGCTTTCCCAGTGCACAGCAGGGAGCTGCTAATGAGTAACCCATCAATACCAGATGTAGGCACAGACCTGCATGATTAAGAACTCCACTTTATCCTGGAACCCCACACACCTCATCCAGATACCTCCACCATTGAATGCAAGACACCTGTGTCCACCTCCCTCAGCCCAACATGTAATGCACCTGGAGAACTGCACGGAGATCTTTCTGCAGAGACCCTTCTTTAAACTGCACAGCCGGGCAATTCTGCCTTAGACCTGAGCTTCCATTCAATCCAGCTGTGATTACTCAGGGCCTCCCCCTGGGGGAAGCACTTACTCAGCATTTATGGGAACAAAGAGAGCAGTGCCCCAGGAGCCTCAAGAACCAACAGCATGGCCTGGCTGGTGTCTGCTTGGGCCATGACAAAGCCTGGCTCCTTGACCAAATGTTCCTGGAGCTCTTCTGACGCCTCTGCTCAACAAGGACTGACCCGGGGCTTCAGCCTCTGTCCTTGCAAGCCCTGGCCAGGATCGCTCACCCTGGCTCCTGACCACATTTCTCACCCCACACCACTCCACAGGGGACATCTGATCACCCCAGTCTGCTTTCAAAAAGAATCCTGCTAGGTCACTTTAGCAAAGACCGACCCTACCCTTTGTCAGCCCTCCTCCTTCTAGGCAACCTTTGAGTATTAGTTCCCAAGGTTGCTTCCTGAATTCCTACTTGAGCCCAATCTCTCTTCCCTGTCCTGGCATGTGGGGTGGATTTTCATCAGCACATAAACAATCTGCATATAGACCTTTCTGAAGAAGCATTTATTCAACCCTTGATTTCCAGTTGTTATTTTCAGCAATCGCACCCTCTCTCCCCCATCACAGAGGGATCTCAAGAGAATTCACAGAATTAGCACTCTAGTCACTGAGTAGCCAAGAGAGAAGTCGTAGAACATTTGCAGGTCTTAGTTGATAGCGATGTTTTGATTTCCCCAGTGGCTGGGACATTGGCTGACAGTGTAAAGTCCTTTGGGTTAAAACAGGACAGGCTAGGAAGCAGGACCCATGGGTAGAGCTGGGGGTGAGCTCACCACTGTTCAACTTTTTTGTCCATGACAAACTGTCCATGAGGGCCCTCGGCATCTGGAGGCAAAAGGGCCAAGTACACGGGGGGTCTCTGCTCCTTCTTCTGGTCTCTTGGTGGCGTCGGGTCCCCCCATGTCGGTTCTCACCCACCCTGGGCAGCAGGCGTTCAGGAGGATCTTGTCCCCTCCCCTCTGCTCACTCAGGTGCCTGGCCTGGATTCTGGACAGCACAGTGATGCCCATCTTGGTCACTCCATAGGCAGTGTCAGGCCAGCCTTCCTTCTGGTGCACCCCCTTCTTCGCGTCTCCCACAAACTTCTTCATGAGCCCCACCAGCTCCTCCTCCGTGATGGTCTCACTGCGAAACTTGTGCTGCAGCTCCGGGCTACAGGATTTAAGGGCTCTGAGACACATCAGGCTGGACACATTCACCACTCTGCCTAAAATGCACCAGAAATCACTATATGAGGGGCCAGTGCTGTGGCACTGTAGGCTAAGTCTCTGCCTGTGGCACCGGCATCCCATTTGGTTGCCGGTTCATGTCCCAGGACCTTCTCCTCCAATCCAGCTTCTTTTTATGGCCTGGGAAAGCAGTGGAAGATGCGCTAAGCGCTCGGGCCCCTGCACTGATGTGGGAGACATGGAAGAGACTACTGGCTCCTGGGTTCAGATCGGTCCACTCTGGCCATTGCAGCCATTTGAGCGTGAACCAGTAGATGGAAGACCTTTCTTTCTGTCTCTACCTCTCTCTGTTTGTCACTCTACCTCTCAAACAAAGAAATAAAATCATTTTAAAATATCACTATGTGAAAAGGTGTGCACATCATGGCTGGTAAAGACCGAAGCTGATGGGGATTTGAGACCAGAGAACGTTCTCTTGAGAGACACACAGCAGTGTGTATTCTAAGGGCAACAGGCAAGGATGGTGCGGTACTGGCATAAGGAGCTCCGATTTTTAAAGACTGATTTGAAAGTCAAAGTTACAGAGAGAGAAGGAGAGACAGAAAGAGGCAAAGGTCTTCCAACCTTTGGCCACTCCCATAGGGACAGGGAGAGAAAAAATGATATTTTCCACTTCCACTCCCCAGATGGCCGCCATGGCCAGGGCTAAGCCAGGCCAAAACCAGGACCAGGACTTTCATCTGGGTCTCCCATGTGGGTGGCTGGGGCCCGAGTACTTGGGCCATTTTCTGCTGCTTTTCCCAGGCCATCAGCAGGGAACTGGATCAGAAGTGGTGCAGCTGGGACTCCAATAGGCACGCATATGGGATCCTGGCTCGCAGGGGGAGGATTTACTGGCTACGCCACCACGCTAGCCAGCAGGAGCTCCGTTGTTGCCTTCAAGTCTGAATCCATAGAGGAGGCAGCGACATTGGAAAAGCCGTCCTTTGAGGTCCTGCCGAACCAGAGTCTTGGAGGCAGTAGGACCTTCCCCAGGGACAGGTCAGGAAAACAGGCTAGGAGTTGAGTAAGTCGTATGAGCAAGTCCTCAACTCTCCACCTCGCATACCAGTCTTCCTGCAAGTGTCGGCTGGTGCCTCTCGGTGTAGATGGAAGGAGAGTGGCTGGGGTGAGTGTCACAGCACTTCCCAACAAAGACAGTGACCGTGTGCTGTGTTGGGAACAAAGCCCACTGGAGGGCAGTGACCATGAGCCTGGAGTTAGCCGGGTCACAGTAAGGCGGTCCCTGTAAGCCACGCTCAGGGCCTGGACTCTGGGGAGGGGCGAGACCATCAGAGGTGGGCAGATTGCCAGAGAGGAAAGTGCTGGAGAAGGGAGGTCCCAGGGGAGGTTTGCACCTGTCCACAGCCACACCTGAGGGCAGCTGCGCCCCTGGATGCATGGGTCGGGGTAGACTGAGGGAGCTCCGTCTCAGACCTGGAAGTAACCGTGGAGGATGGGGCAGGGCAGGTGACCGCCAGGATCGGGTCGGTGCCCACGGTGACACAGGGGTGGAGGAGAAGCCTCTGGAAATGCATTTTAGCCTGCGAGGGGCATCAGGAGGTGACGGAGAGGCAGGACAGCTCAGGGTGTCTAAGGAGGAGACGTCCTCTGGGGGATACAGTGGGTGACTGCTAGGAAGGACCTGCCAGGCTGACTCAGGTCACTCAGGGAGCAGAGAGGGCCCAGGGTGGCACCCCCAGGGCCTCCGACATGAGATGGGCATGGCAGAAATGAGGAGCCTCTCCCAGGAGACCTGTGAGCTAAGACTGCAGGGTCAGAAGGCACCAGGTGTGCCAAGGGCAGAGACCGCAGGGGCAGTGCAAGAGCGGGACGACGTCCTGACCCAGGACAGCCCCTGGCAGGGGCGGCAGCAGGCTGGTGCAGCTGGAGGAGGACAGGCAGCAGGGATGGAGCTGAGAGCCCAGGCAGCAGGGCCAGCTCCCTCCTGAGGGCACAGCGTGGGGTCCCCAGGAGACTCACCTCTGGGCCTCATGAGAGGCAGCAGCTCCGTGCAGACATCTCGGGTGCCATCAAAGTTTGTCTTCATAGTCACCTCCGCTTTAATATGAAAGGGCGTGGTATCCACAACTTTGGGGTCTGAAAGATACGGTCAATCATTTTTAAAAAAATGATTATTGTCCATTTATTTGAAATGTAAAAGAGAGAGAGAGAGAGTGAAAGAGAGAGAGAGAAAGCAAAGTATCTTTCAGCTCCTATTCTATTCCCCAAATGCCCACCACTGCCAAGGCTGGGCAAGGCACAAATTAGGAGCTAGGAAAGCTACCCAGGTCTCTCCTGAGGGTTGCAGGGCCCCAAGCACTTGAGACGTTCTCTGCAGCTCCCAGCCATGTTAGCAGGAAGCTGGATGAGAAACAGAGTAGCCAGGACTGGAACTGGCGCTGCCACACTGGATGTGGCTGTTCTGAGCAGCATCTGCCACAGAGCCTGTCCCTTGGCTAGAATTCTGTAGACTTAAAGCAGTGCACGGGAAACCCAGCCACCCCGAGAGAAGTCTGCCTCTCATTGCTGCTTTGTGCCAACCTCACTGTCATCGGATAACATCCTCCATTCCTAAAAGTGGCAACCTCCATGGGCCATCTCTTGTCACCATTAAAAAATAACTTGCTTATTTCAAAATCAGTTGAAAAATCAATCCATAGCCTAAATCTCAATCATAGAGATGGAAGAGGACCTGGAAATGCCCCCTGGTGTTGAAGCCTGGGAAACACCAAGGTCCCTTTGTCTTGAAAAGCCCACCACTCCCCAAGGGCCCAGCTTCCCACTCTTCACCCTCCCAGCCTCTCCTTCTGCTCCTTGGGGGTCCCTTTTCTAGACTCTGGTGCTGATCCTGCACCCCAGGATCGTCTAGTAGACGCACCCCACCGCTCCGGAGGCTCTGGGGAGGTCTCCCGCCCTGCCTCCTTACTTTCCATGTAGATGGCCGCGTTGTTGACCAGCACGTCCAGGCCCCCGTACTCCCGGCGCAGGAAGTCGCGCAGGGCGCGGATGCTCTGCAGGTCCGTGATGTCCAGCTGGTGTAAGCGCGGGCTCAGGCCCTCGGCCTGCAGCTGCTGCACGGCGGCCCGGCCCCGCGCCTCGTCCCGCGCCGTGAGCACCACGTCCCCCGAGAAGAGCCGGCACAGGGCGCGCGCGATGGCGAAGCCGACGCCCTTGTTGGCGCCGGTCACCAGCGCCACGCGGCTGCAGGACGACATGGCTGGGTGGGAGCTCACAACACCCGCAGACCTCTCAGCCTGAGCTGCAAGACTATACCATGTGTGCGGGTCTGGAGCGTGCTGAGTGTACACAGGCACCTGCTGTGCCCAGAGCTGCCTAAGTGTGCAGATGAAGAGGCAGGCTCCGCCCCGCCCTGGGCAGGGCTTTCCAGTTCCATAATGACCTTGCGTGCAGAGATTCCCAGAGGGCCTCTTGGCTGGGTGTTGCAAAACCAGCCAAGTGAAGCCCTAGGCTGGTGATTGCTGCTAGTGGCCTGCCTAGCATCAAAGATCTGTTCAACTTGGACATGCTATTGATCTGAGCTGAGCTTTATCTCTGCTTCTCCAAAGCCTTCCCTTCCCCCATCCTCCCAGCTGTTCAACTATTCCTCCTTGTCCTTGTAGAATTGGGACCCTGTACGCACATTCTCTCTGGTGTTCTGAGAGTATTCCTGGAACTGCCATCTTTGGTACTAGAATTGCACAATATATTGGGGGAAAATTATAGAAGATCAAGTTTCTGTTTATTTCACCCCTAACCAGGGAACAGAAGCAAGTTTGTTCCTGAGGTTGGTTGGGAAACGTTGGCTAAAGCAGCTAGCGACACATCTGGGTCTGTGCACCTGCTGGGCCGTCTTCTCACCTGGATGGGGGTCCTGCAGAGTACAGGTGCGAAGGACTTTCACTGCCTACTATTCCACAGTGTGTCAGGATTTCTGTCCCCCCTTCAGAATGAAGAGTTGGTTCCATCCTTGGAGATGTGGTTGATTGGTTGAGTGGTGGGAAATGAATGTTCCTCACCGCGGTCTGCTTAGGATGGGGGACTGGAGGCTGTAGGGTCAGCTTTCATTTCCGTGTCATCCAGTAGTTGCCCCCACACACAAGTGGCCACTGCAATGTCCGTTATAGGAAACTGAATGAATGCAATGAAAAAGTCAGTTTTTAGCTGCAACAGTCATGTTTCAGGTGCTCAGTGTTCGTGTGTCTCAGTGGCCACTGTCTGGGCTGTACAGACACTGGACATTTCTCACGGACCATGGGGCTTCACACGGATTCCGGATAGGTTGCTGTAAGGGAGGGTTCCAACCAGGGGTTAACAGAAGGTCAACAGCCCGGGACAGACCCTTGCTGCATTCCAAGGGACATTTTTATTGGGACAATTGTAGATCCACATGCAGTTGTGAGCAATAACACAGAGATTCCATAAACTTTGCCGATTGCCATCACCAGTAACAATTTGCGATATGCACAGTAAAATATCACTGTTCAGACCACTGCAGAACAGTGCAGCCCTACTCAGAGTCCCCCAGCTCTGTGTGTGTGTTTGCCCGTGTGTTGAGTTCTGGACAGGTTCATCTCGTGCAGTTTTGCATTTCCATCACTGCAGTCAAGATCAGAGCCATGGGGGCTGGCGCTGTGGCACAGCTGGTAAAAGCCGCCACCTGCATTGCCAGCATCCCATGTGGGTGCCAGTTTGATCCCGGCTGATCCACTTCCAATCCAGCTCTCCTTTATGGCCTGGGAAAGCAAGTGTTTGGGCCCCTGCACCCACATGGGAGACTTTGAAGAATCTCCTAGCTCCTGGCTTCAGATTGGTGCAGCTCCAGCCGTTGCAAGTTGTGGAGTGAACTGGTGGATGGAAGATTCTCTGTCTCTGTCTCTGTCTCTCTCTCAGGATAAGGGAAAATGAAATAAATGTGTCTAACTGTAAACACTGATACTCTTAACACCTTACATTCTATAGAAAAACTATTTGGGTTTGCTAATGTTTTCTTAAGTTGTCCATATGAAAATAGTTCTATACTCTTGAAAGTAACTAAGGATGGGGCCAGCGCTGTGGTGCACTAGGTTAATCCTCTGCTTGCAGTGCAGGCATTCCATATGGGTGCAGGTTCTAGTCCCAGCTACCTCTCTTCCAGTCCAGCTCTCTGCTGTGGCCTGGGAAAGCAGTAGATGACCCAAGTCCTTGGGCCCCTGCACCCGCATGAGAGCCCAGGAAGAAGCTCCTGGCTCCTGGCTTAGATTGGCCATTGCAGCCCTCTGGGGAAGGAACCAATGGGTGGAAGACCTCTCTCTCTGTCTCTTCCTCTCACTGTCTGTAATTCTACCTCTCAAATAAATAAATAAATAAAAATCTTTTTTTTTTTAAAAGTAACTAAGGTTGAAATTTGATGCTATCTTATTTGGAAAATTCTTAATTTGGAGATATCTAAAGCATTATTTTGAAATGTAAATCAAGGAGATCAGCAGATGGAAAGCAAAAGCTATTAGTCTATATGACATAGAGAGGGATCATCCAGTGTGTGTCCTCCTGGGATTTCTCCCACAGCAGTTCATTAGGAGGGCCTTACTTACTCCCTCATTCCTCTATTCTCTTCAGGATGGAACCTGACTCTACACTGAAGAACCCTCCAGGTTGTACAGTTTGATCTTTAGGTTTTATAAAAGGGATGGCTATCATTTTTCTGTAGTGACAGCATAGCCAAAATGAGAGCTTAAATTGTGATTTCATGGCTAGATTTACTTTACCATGGGCACGTTAAACAGGCAAACCCCCTCTTTCATACCAAAGGAAGGGAGAGAAAGTTTTACTAATGACTTCAACTTTTATATATAAGATGGTCATCATGTTTGATGCTAAAGTGAGAACATAGCTCTCCTCATGGGCATTGTCTACCTCACAGAAAGACCACTATCAGAACATGCCTGTGACTACAGACTTCTAATGTAGGCCACCAAAACCTGGAGATGGGACCTGAGCACCCCTTGACTTGCATCCTCTGGTCTGCTTTAACAAAAACCAGAAAGAAGGCAAAGCTAGGCATCAGAAGCAATGTAAAGATTGGTGCAGGCCTACTAAGGGCTGCTCTGTACAGTGATCTGCCCTCAGGGAGACCCAACAGGCCAGTCCACTGCAGTGGCTTTTGATGTGGAAAGCCAGGGCTGCAGCACAAGTCAGCTTATGAAGAGGCCTGGCAGCTCGGCCAGCCAAGAGTTGGATCACCAGAAACAGAACTGCCCTAAAGCAAAAACGCCCAGGTCTTGTTGGCTCCAAGCTGAAAAGCCCTTCACTTGGCCAGCTTCCAAAGTAACCACCGCTGCGGAGGGGACGGCCAAGTAGGGTCAGCAACATTGCAGGCAGCACTGCAAATTTCCTGTTAGAGATGCCACCTGCCTTCACCTGGCCAGCTCTCCTTCCAGGCCAGCTGGGTAATGGAAGTCAACAGGGTGCCTTCCTGAGGAGGTTCACACCTCCCTTAGGATGTACCCCATGTGGAGATATAAATAGGTCTGGGCCTCATAACTGGCACAGCCTTAAAGCCCACCTGATTATTACCAGGCCCCCTCTGTCAGTTTCTATTTGCCTCTCAATCAGAAAATTTATTCATGGTTTAGACAGCAGCTTTCTTAAGTCCTCTAATAATGACTCTGTCCTTTGCTCTAGACCCTGTCTAACCCACGTGGGGCCTCACTCCTTTGTAATCAAAGCCTCTACTCTAACATCAGTGACTCAACTACTGACCCAGGTGTATCGATGGTCCTTTCCCCAACTTGATATTGTATGATTGTCCAGAATTTTTCTACAGACAAACCCCTCTATCCATAAGAGATGCGTGGCCTTTCTCCCAGCCTTGGTGGTAATCAGCTTTGCAGCCTCTCTCTCCTCAGTACTGATCTCAGGAACAGCTGTGGGTCACAACTCCAAAACACCTCTAACAGTTACAAGGGGAGGTCACTAGGTCCAAAGCCATGTCACCTCACTAACAGGCATGGTACTATGGGACAGATGGGCCTTACCAGTGCTGTTATTGTGTTAACCAATCAGGCCACGTAAAACCACATCCATCAAACAGTCCTCACTAAGTTCCAGAGGCCCCCCTCATTTGCTCTCCTCTATAGGTCCTCTCATTACCTAGTTAACGCCACTCCTGGGGCCAATGGCTGCTATACTCACCCTGGCTTTTATACTATCTTGTCTGTTTAAGTGTTCACAGGTGATAATGGAACAAACCAAAGTCTTCTCCAACCAGGCTGTCATCCAGATGCTGCTACAGGGATATACTCGCTCCCCACCCAGAGATCATGGGTTGAGATGTCACCCCATGGCAATGGAGAGTAACTCGCTGCCCCATGTCAGCTCGAAGTAGATCTAAATAAAGATTATCTTCCCTCTACCCCTCCTGGACTTTTGGGGCTGAGGTAATCCTATACAACACTTGCTCTATAAAAAACAAAAGGGGGGAATGTTAGCAAAAGGGTGCCACCCATGCCCCAGACACCATCTTAGACTCTGGCCCCATGTCACCTAGCACACTAAGCTTTGGTCCTAAGCCCATGGCCCAACCACATGTGTCAGCTCCACCCCAAACCTAATGGGATTCACTGCTCCCACATCCCTACTCCCTGCAAGAGTAAAACAGGACCTGCCTCCTGCACACGTGCTCTCTCTCCTGATCTCTCTCTCGACCCCACTCTCCTTCTTTCTTCTCTCTTTCCCTCCAGCCTGTTGGGTTTCCCCCACCCAACAATAAACCTTTCCCTTAAAAAAAAAAAAGACTTCCACAGGCTAGGCAGCTCATGTCAAGAGTCTCAGGTGATCACTGACGTCATACGTAAGAGTGTTAATGGTTAAATTAACAACAGGAGTCACTGTGCACCAACTTCCCATGCAGGAACTCTGTCCTCAAAAAGTTGTATTATACTTTTAGAGAGAATTATTTGAATAGCCCTCGTCCTGACAGTCGAGGGACAGTTTTTTATTGTTATCTTCTATCTTGTATTTCCTTTTTTTCTTTGTTTCCTTTTTCTTTTCTTTTCTTGTACTATTCGTTGACCTCTGTGTAACATAGAGTTAATCATATGTATATAATGTCAATTGAAAAAAATCCCAGCAAAAAATAAGAGGGGGAATCAGAGAGGGAGGAGCTTTACATGATGAACAAGCCAGGACCAGGCACCTCTACCATGATTTACTGTAAAGCTGTGTAGTTCTGCATAGCGTCCTACAGATTTACTTCTAATGGTACAGCCTAAACACTTGTCATGGGACTCCAAACCCAATTAAACTGCTGGTAAAAATGCCATCTTAATTGTAAAAGTGATCATATTAAATGTTAAAGTCAACATATAGCTAGGTTTAAGTGTAAAAGTGATCATATAAATAACATCAAGTGCCTCATAATAATAATAGACAGAATTAGGAAGGAATGTCTAATATGGGAAGCAGTCCACAGAGC